TCGCGTCGTGGCAACCCCGGCGTTGGTTTCTGACGTCGCGTGGATCGGTCAACCCTGGACGAACGACGGCTTTCCGATCACCAGATCGCTCCGCAGTGTGGCGGCGCGCAAAAGGGGTGTGGGGAGAGGGGGAAGGCTTCTTAGAAGGAGGCTGCTTCTCAGAAGGCGCTGGCCCTACAAGGCCCGCGCCTCCTGAGAAGCAGGGGTGCTCTTGAGCAGCCCGCCCTCTCCCCCCACACCCTTTCTGCGCGTGGCGTTTGACCAGCTCGGGGCCGCTGGCGGCGCTCAACCTCGAGCGCCCGCGGCGGGATCGCCGGCGCGAGGGCACGGCACGAACCTGCCGTGCACCGCCGCCTGGCCTCCACGGCGCCCCACCCTGGGCCCAGACCTTGGCGCGCGCAGGCCAGCACCCAGACCAGTGGGAGGCCGTGGCGCGCACCAGTGGCCCAGGGGTGGGCGGGCGGAGGCCGAGTTCCGTGCGTGCGTCCCTCTCCCGAGGCCTTGGGCGTGAAGTTCAGCCTCACGACCTCTGGGCGCGGGCGGCGGGGGCAAGCCGAAGACCCCCTGATAGGGGCGCTGCCAGCGGTACCCCGGGCCCAAGGCGTCCCCAAGATGTGCGAGGAGGCCCACGCGGCCTGCCGATCACATCTCTCGCACGAGGCCCAGCGGGCCCCAGAGGGCTCCAAAGTGCTGCGAAGAGCTGGGGACACCTCGGGCATGGCGCAGCCTGCGGGCATCGGCAGAGCGGTCGCCGCCACGGGCAGGAGAAATTAGGAGCCAGACGTGGCGATGTTGGCTGGGGGGTCTGCTCTGGATGGGCACCAGCAAAAGCAGCCAGGGGGAGGAAGGGGACAAATTCGGCATTCCATGCCCATCTGGAGAATGCGGCCCGGAGGAGACAGGGAACGAAGCCTGCGTGCAGTGGTGCCTCTCCCCTCGCTGGAAGCTGGAAGTGGAACCAACGATGCCCCAACCTCGGCCCCAGAGCGGGCTCCGAGGTGGCTGGCGTCTGCAAGAGACCCCGACAGGAAGTTGAATATATACAACGCGATCATCCGAAATTGACTTGGGGTGCCAGTGAGGGCACCGAGGCTTCTGCGCGGCGGCTCCTGCCAAAAAATTGCATGCCTCAGAAGGGCGATGCCAGTCCCCCCAGGGTGGGCTCGCTGCAGACGCGGGTCAAAAGCCTTGCTCTGCGACCCTTCAAGGACCAGACCCGGGCACGAGACAGTGGGGAGGGCGAGAGAGGATGGAAGAAAAGAAAAAGTGGAGGGTGGCCAGGCAGGAAGAAGGATAGGGAAGGGGGAAGGGGAGACTGAGCATGAAGGCTCGTCGTTCCCTCCCTCCCACCTGGCTTCTCGCAGAGCGACGATCTCGGCCTCGTGAGGGGTGGTCTTAAGGCCATGGCCGTCTGGGGCTCCTCGGGAATCCTGGGGACATCTTGGGCCAGGGACACTTTTAGGAACACCCGACTGCTGCCTCTTGCTGTACGACGTAATCCTCCTTCCCCTCCCCCCCGCCCTCCCTTCGCCAGACGACGGATCAGCGAAGACGTCCTGCCTTCTGGCGTCACGGCCTCAACCTTGCCCCGTCGACAAGAAGCTCGCACCGGACACGCGCAGCCGGCCGCCTCCCCCTCTCCCTCCTCCGCCAACTCCTGGGGAGAGGAGCTGCCCTCCCGAGCACCTCACCACCTCAGCCAAAACAGTTACCTCCCCGTCGCCTGCCTTGGCGGCGCGCACAGGGGGGCAGAGGGAAAGATAGGCTTCCTAAAAAAAGCTGCTTCTTAGAAGGCGCCGGTTCTGCATCTACAGACACGGCCCGCGCCTCCTGAGAAGCAGGGGTGCTCTTGAGAAGCCCGCCCCAATCCCCCCCACCCCCCTCTGCGCGTGGCGTTTGACCAGTTCTGGGCCACTGGCGGCGCTCAACCTTGAACGCCCGCGGCGGGATCGCCGACGCGAGTGCACGACACGAACCTGCCGTACACAGCCACCTGGCCTCCACGGCCTTCCACTCCAACAGGGGATATGTCGACCCCTATCCAGGGCTTCGTGGCGCTCTCGAATGAACCAGACATCTTGGGCCCAACCCTCCTCAAAGATCCGACGTCGTGATTTGTTCAACACGGAGTCCCTGGAAGTCTCGACCCATTCCCCAGGACCAGTTTTTCATCCTGAGTCGTTCCTTGGCGGTCCCGAAGCCTGGCGAGGGCCCTATGGAGGCCGAAAACTGCCTCCAGGTCTGCGCGTGGCCCACGGACCTCCGGCGTCGTGATGCACTGGGTCCACGGGCCTCACCCGGCCTGCCGGCCCCGTCCTCCTCCTCCTCCTCCTCTCCTCCTCCTCCTCTCCTCCTCCTCCCTCCTCCTCCTCCCCTCCCCCTCTCCCCTCCTCCCCCTCCTCCTCCTCTCCTCCTCCTCCCCCTCCTCCTCCCCCTCCTCCTCCTCCTCGGCTCTTCCTCCTCCCCCGGCCGGTTTTGGTTATGGCAGACCCGCGGCGCCCCGGAGCGGCCCCTGGAGGCGCGGAAAAAAAAAACAAAAACAAAAGAACAAAAACAAAAAAACAAAAACAAAAAAAAAAAAAAAAAAAAACGGGCGCAGTTCTCTCGAGGCGCCAGAGGTCGGTTCGAGGAGATCGGGCCCGAGGATGGAGGGTCGGGGCTCGAGGGCAGAGAGGGTCCAGGATCGAGGGTCGAGGGCGGGGGGCGGGTGGATCCAGGACCGAGGCTCGAGGCTCGGTGCTCGAGGGTCGGGGGCTCGAGGATCGAGGGCGCTCTCCCTCTCCTCATGCCAGCTCGGAGCGTGGAGGAGGGCAAGGCTGCATGAGCGTAAACGTTCGGAGGTCCGTGCAGATGGTTTGCTTGGATCGGCGGTGGGCCCCCCTCCCTGGCGCGCGGAGCGCGCCAAGGGCGGTGCGGGAGGCGCCGCCAGCGGGGGGCACGGCCGCCGATCCGAGAAACCCGCGCGGAGCTGCAAAAGTGTGTGTTCTGTCCTTCTTGCTCCTCGGAGTCGGGAAGCCTTGTGGATGCCGGGGTCGAGGCTCTCCACCTCCACGCCGAGCCCCTCCTTCAAGTACCAGTCAGCCTTGGACATGGAAACATTGGCCAGATGCACGCCGTCCGGGTTCAGGAGCCTGCACCTGAGCATCGGCGCTGGGGATGGCCGGGAAAGCGCGCCCCCCTGAAATCCGACATCGCCAAGAACATGCAAGTCCGCTGCAATGACAATGTTAGCCAGCGTCGACCCCACACTGTGTGTGATTTGGTAATGCGCGCGGTGCTATCCATGTGATGCAATCTATGTGATACAAATTATTTGCCGAACTTGAAAGTGTCAGCTCCACTGCTCGCGCAATCATCCCACCCACCCGCCCACAACTTGGTTTGCAAAACCCAAGCGGGAACGATTGCGATGAGTGCTGGGCGTTGGCTGGTGCATCTCTGCGGCCGTGCTAGCCCGCGCATGCTCGCGCGCGCAGCGGCCAGGTAGTTTGGCGCGACCGACGCGAACGCGGTGGCGCTGACCGCTCGGCACATCGCAGCGGGCACTTCAGTGCGAGTCGGCGATTTGAGCGGGCGCAGTATCATGGAGACGTCGACAACGGTAATCACGATGATGATAATGATGATGAGGATGATGATGATGAAGATGATGATGAAGATGATGGTGATGAGGATGATTATTATGGTGATGATGATGATGATGATGATGACGATGATGATGATGATGATAAGAATGATGATGATAAAAAATGATGATGATGATGATGATGATGATGATGATGATGATGATGGTGATGATGATGATGATGATGATGATGATGATGATGATGATGATGATAGCAGCGATGCTCGTGGCGATGCTGACAACGACGACGGGGCAGCCAGTGACGGCGCTGATGCTGATCACGCCGACGACGATGACGGCGTCTTCGCGTCGGTGACGAAGGTTTGGAAAGGAATTCGAAATGCGCGCGCGGCACACGCGCGGGAGTGGCTCGCATGGTGTTCTTTGACACGCATCGTGCCACCCCAGTACGCGCGCAAGGGCGTTCGAACGATTTCGACATGCGCGCGCGAAGCCCGTTTGGTAGCATTTTCTTAGAATGTTGAAAAACTTATGGCTGTCTCTCTGCCCAACCGTTTCGAGCCAGATCCAGCCTTGGCGACGAGAAGAGCGCCACCGGACCCGAGGAGAGCAACTAGGAAGTCACCTCGCGATGCGCGCTTATCTTCACGCCCTCACGCTGCCCCCTGGGGGAGCGCTTTTCTCCGATCCACGGCGCGGAGCAAGGAGCGCGGCTGACCGCGCGCCCCTGCAGATGACCTGGTAGCACGACGGCCCCACTCACCGCCAGGACAGGGAAACCTGGACTTGGGCTGACCCGAACATCGTTTGCGAACATGTGCTCCCAAACCGTTTGCGAAACGCTCGGTTTGAACATGTCCGTTTCCCTCCAACCAAGCGGCCGTGGACAAAGCCCTTGGGAGCCTTGAAGTTTGCGAACATATGGTTCCGAACCGTTGAAGAACAGATGATGGTTCATCCTTCCGAACACATGATAGGGCACGCCTAGAACCTAGACATCCGACGTCGCGACGTTTTCGCCCCCAGACTTCTGGGCCCCACCCCAGGGACCACAGACTCATGTCGACCATTTGCTTGACGCCTGCGGCGACCCGAAGCGGGCCTCCAGAGACCGAAGCTGTGGGAGCAGCGGGCGTCATTGTGTTTCCGTATCGGTCCCGACCGGGGGTCAAAACTCGGCCAGGGGACCTGTCCTGGGGATCGTCCTGCCCAGCATTTCAACAGCGGGGCCCAGCCGTGGCCACGGGAGGGCCCTCCCGAGGCCCAAACAGCTGCCCTAACCGCTCCGACGGCCTCGATCCCTCGCGCCCTCGATCCAGCAGCAGCGGCGGCCAGGACAAAGGACCCGAGGGGACGGCGGCCACGGCAGCGCTCGGCCGCGGCCCCTGAGCGCATCGCTTACCTGACCGATCCCCATCCCCACTGGCATGGCCTTGGCCCCACTGGCCGACTTACCCCACAAAGTGGGAATACGTGTGTGTGTGTGTGTGTGTGTTGTGTTGTGTGCTGTGTTATGTGTGTTATGTGTTGTGTACGCTGTGCGTGTATTGTGTGTGAACTGCGTTTGCGTGTGATGTGTGTGTGTGTGTGTGATGCGTGTGTGCGCGTGTGCGCGCGTGCGTGCGAACGTGCGTGCACGTGTGCGCGTGTGCGAGTGTGCGGGTGGACGCGTGTGCGCGTGGGCACGTGTGCGCGTGGGCACGTGTGCGTGGGCGCGTGGGCGCGTGGGCTTGTGGGCGCGTGGGCGCGTGTGTGCGTGGGCGCATGGGCGCGTAGGCGCATGGGCTTGTGTTCTCGCGTGTGGGCGCGTGGGCGCGTAGGCGCTGTGTGCGCGTGTGCGCGTGTGCGCGTGCCTGCGCGTGTGTGCGCCTGTGTGCGCGTGTGTGCGTGTGTGCGCGTGTGTGCGCGTGTGTGCGCGTGTGTGTGCGTGTGTGCGAGTGTATGCGCGTGTGTGCGCGTGTGTGCGCGTGCGCACGCGTGTGTACTCGCTTGAACGTGCGTGCGCGTGTGTGCGCGTGTGTGCGCGTGCGTGCGTGCGTGCTCCAGGGGAATTCGCAAAGGTTCACCCTTCAGTCGCAGGAACGGGAGCTTGCAAAGGTTCAATTCCCCGCATGCGATCGAACTGGAGAGGGAACTTGAAAAGGTTCACTCTCCAGGCGGGGGGGAGGGAACTTGAAAAGGTTCACTCTCCCTCTTGTGGTCGAACTGAAGGGGGAACTCGATGACGTTCAAACTGGAGAGGGAACTTGAAAAGGTTCTCTTTCCCTACGAACAGGACGATTGAGGGATACGGGAGGAGGAGGAGGAGGAGGAGGAGGAGGAGGAGGAGGAGGAGGAGAGAGCTTTGCTTCGTGTTTGGTAGCAAAGGGAAACTAACGCAATGTTTGCTTTGGCGTTCCAGGGGTTGGGGAGATAGTTTTTCCCTCCGGGGCGGAACAAGATTTGAGTCGTTGAAAGTTAGCGCAAATCAATATAGTTTGCGATTCAAGATCGTCACGAGACGCGCCGGAGGGCCCCAAGACGGTAAAAATATGGTTTTGGGTTTGTCTCTGGCGGCTCCGATGGCTCAGAAACGACCTCCGGGACAGGGGAAACACGGAAGGGATCCTATCTAAAGGCAGTCGGCCAAATCCGCCACCGTGCCTGGGCAATGGGCGGGAGAGGGAACTTGACAAGGTTCACTGTCCCGCTTGCGGTCGAACAGGAGAGGGAACTTGAAAAGGTTCACTCTCCAGGCAGGGACAGGGAACTTGAAAAGGTTCACTCTCCCTCGCGTGGTCGGACTGAGGGGGGAACTTGAAAAGGTTCAACCTTCAGTCGCGGGAAAGGGAACTTGCAAAGGTTCACTTCCCCGCACGCGATCGAAATGGAGAGGGAACTTGAAAAGGTTCACTTTCCAGGCGGGGGAAAGAGGGAACTTGAAAAGGTTCACTCTCCCTCCTGTGGTCGGCCGCCGCCTCGCTGGATTTTGGAAAGAGGTCCGCCCAATGTCATTGAAACGCGCTCTTCGACGCTTCGCGGCGTCTGAGGATTCGACGGTGGCGAGAGCCGCCCTACTTGCTGGGGAGCACGGCATTGCCAGAGGAAGAGTGACGGCCTGTATTCTTTCTGGCCCGATGCCCAGTGCGGACGGCATATCCCTCTGCCGTTTGCGTGGCACCGCAAAGCCCGACGCCCAGTGCAGACGGCTCTTTGCTTGTTTTTCCTGTGTCTCCGCGCTCAGCTATTTCTCTGCCTTCGCGCTGAGCCAAACCTGGTCCGATTCCAAGTGCGGACGGCCAATGCGCGAACGTATTCACTTTGCCCCATCATCCCACGTGTCTCTTAGGCTCTCGCCCAAACATGGCCCGATGCCAAGTGCGGACGGCACTCCGCGTGAATTCCTCAGTGGGTTCTTCTACCAGGTAGCCCCATCTTGGCGTGGACGGCACAGGCGAACGACCTCTGCCACGGTGTTTGCGACGCAGTGCCAATGAATTAATTCTTTGCTTTGACAAAAAAGATGCGCTGAGATATGCTGGCGGATGAACATAACATGTGTTGGATGTGCAGCCGAGCTGCGCGCGCGTGTGCTCGTCGCTCTCGTAGACGCGCTCTTATAACAAAATGGTCATATAAATATGTTCACCATAGCACTACCCTACAATATGAGATGCACATGTGGCTCATATGGCCAGACGCTCATTAAAATATCCCAAATACAATATTAACTTAAAAAAAGATGCACATATGGGGAGCTCCACACAGTGAGTAATTTCACAACGCGAGGGGGTCTGAAACACCCTGGCCCCGCGCGGTTGGGGATCGGTCGGACGATGCCGATCCCAGGCTGCTGGCGGCGAGCACCCGCCGTAGAGCTGCGTCTTCCGCGGGGGCGCCCTGATGCCGCAGGGCTTGCGCCCCGCCCCATGGCCCTGCGCATTGGGGGCCGCCGCCGCCGCCCCGCTGGCAGCCTGCCGTCGCCGCCCCGCCGTGGACAAAACACACACAAACACACACACACACACAAAAAAAAAAAAAAAGTAGCACCCCGCAGTCGCGGATAAGAGTGAGGGGGCGGCGGGGACGTCGGCAGTCTGCGAGGCTCTGAAAAAGCCCGCCGCAGGCGCCGAATGTTTACAAACTATACAACGAGCCCGCCGCAGGCGCCGATTTTTCGTTAAACCGGTGTGGGTGGGTCGCGGGGTGGGTCGCAGGTGGGTCGCAGGTGGGTCGCAGGCGGGTCGCGGGGTGGGTCGCGGGTGGATCGCAGGCCGGGTCGCGGGTGGGTCGCAGGTGGGTCGCGGGTGGGTCGCGGGAGGGTCGTGGGGTGGGTCGCGGGCGGGTCGCGGGGTGGGTCGCGGAAGGGTCGCCGGTGGGTCGCGGGGTGGTCGCGGGTGGGTCTTGGGCGGGTCGCGGGCGGGTCGCGAGGTGGGTCGCGGGTGGGTCACGGGCCGGGTCGCAGGGGGGACGACGCCAAACGACAACAACAAACAAACAATAACAAGAATCCGCAACGCAAAATCCCATATCAGCCACGCAAACAAGGACAGTGAATGACCGTTCGGCCCCTCACTCTGATAAAGGGGCCCAGGGACACACAAATGAATAGGCAAAAATCCCGGGAGTCCGCTATATCTTTACATTTTCTGGATGTTCATCTTCCTTTCTACTACCATATGTTTCCATATTTTTCCCTGGTGGTCGACGATTAATTGTGTCTGTGTAAATTTCCCCCCTATGCATAACAAAACAAAGAAACAAAAAACGGCGTGTGGGGGGTCGCTCCAGCTTAGGGGGATGTGGGGCATGCTGGGGATAGTTCTGTGCCTCCAAGGGCGCCCTCGTCGTCACGGCAGGATCCGCTCCGAAACTTCGGCCAGAACACACCTCCCCAGGGGGAGGCCCAGGAGTAGATTGTGAAGTCTGGGGTTTGAGGTGGGCCCTCACAAATCGATCCAGCTGCAGACATGACGCACGAAGATAAGGTCGAGGGCTCCCAGCATGTTGTTGCGACGATGCCGTTTGTTTCACGACATCGGATCTCGGCGAACTCCTCCCACCAATGCAATCTCCATCGCTCCCCGATCTTCAACGCTTCCCCTGTCCCGATCCTCAACACTTCCCCTGCAGGCCGCCAACACACCGCCCCATGCTTCCAACCGCGGCGTCCCAAAACACCCTCCGCCGTGACTCGTCCACAATGTGGCTCCCAGGAGGCCTGGACTCCTTCCCCGGGACCAACTTGTCATCCTGAGTCGTGATTTGACGGTCCTGGGGTCCAGTGAGGGCCCCTGGAGGCCTAAACTTGCAAAAAGCACTCCGCAATGAGAGGATGTCAGGGTGCGCAGGCCGCCAAAACACCTCCCCATGCTTCCCCCCGCGGCGTCCTCGGAGGAAGACGAAGCGAAGCTAAGTGACGCGAACACCGAAGTCGTGCGCGCTTCTAGCCCGCGAGTGAACATCCAGGCATGGCGCGGAAGCCGTGGCCCCGAAAATGTGATATGTAGGCGGACTCCCGTCCCAGACATCCGGCCGCTCCAATTTTGGGACCCGAAGGTCTGGACCATTTCGCCAGGGCCGGTTTCTCGTACTGAATCGTGGTTTGGCAATCCCAAGGCCAGCGAGGGCCCCCGGAGGCCGAAAACGGCCCAAAATCGGCCGCTCCAACTGTTTCGGAGCGTCGGACCTCAAGGGCGGTAACCAGCGTTCAGTGTCCCCGGCGGTGCCCGTGCCGTCGGGGCTCGGTCGCGGGGAAGAAGAGGGGCGGAGAGGGGCGGTGATCCAAGGGCGCCCTGGCCCGCAGCAGCGCTCCCAGCGGCTGGTCACCATCGCAAGTCGCCTGTGCTGCTGTGCCTGTGCCTGTCGTGGCCTGGTCGCGGGGAGGAAAAGGGAGGTCAAACCTCACAAGGGAAGCGGGGGGGGGGCGCGATCACCGGATCACCGGATCACCGGATCACCGGATCACCGGATCACCGGACCTCCGGATCACCGCGGATCACCGGATCACCGGATCACCGGATCACCGGATCACCGGAGCACCGGATCACCGGATCGCCGGATCACCGGATCGCCGGATCACCGGATCACCAGATCACCGGACCCCTGGATCACCGGATCACCGGAGCACCGGATCACCAGATCACCGGATCACCGGATCACCGGATCACCGGATCACCGGACCTCCGGATCACCGCGGATCACCGGCTGGATCACCGGATCACCGGATCGCCGGATATCGGCCGGATCACCGGATCACCGGATCACCGGATCACCGGATCACCGGATCACCGGATCGCCGGATCACCGGACCGGATCACCGGATCGGATCCGGATCACCGGATCACCGGATCACCGGATCACCGGATCACCGGATCGCCGGATCACCGGATCACCGGATCACCGGATCACCAGATCACCGGATCGCCGGATCACCGGATCATCGGATCGGATCACCGGATCACCGGATCACCGGATCGCCGGATCGGATCACCGATCACCGGATCACCGGATCACCGGATCACCGGATCACCGGACCTCCGGATCACCGGATCACCGGATCACTGGATCACCGGATCACCGGATCGCCGGATCGCCGGATCACCGGATCACCGGATCACCGGATCACCGGATCGCCGGATCGCCGGATCGGACCGGATCACCGGATCACCGGATCGCCGGATCACCGGATCACCGGATCGCCGGATCACCGGATCACCGGATCACGGATCACCGGATCACCGGATCACCGGATCATGCCGGATCGCCGGATCACCGGATCACCGGATCACCGGATCACCGGATCGCCGGATCGGATCACCGGATCACCGGATCACCGGATCACCGGATCACCGGATCACCGGATCACCGGATCACCGGATCGCCGGATCGCCGGGCGACCGGCGGGCGGGCGCCGAGTCGGTGGGCGGGACAGGCGGGTCGGGTCGGGCGGGTCGGCCGGCGATTGCCAATCCAGGGAGGCCCCGCCTGAGCGAGGACAGTATCGGTCAACCATGTTGTTTGTTCGGTTTCATGCCCCTCCCGCTGCCCACAGAGGCCCCCGACGCAGCGCGCAGAGGCCCCAGACGCAGCCTCACGGCTCCGCGCCACGCTACTCACACGTTTCGTGGCCCCCCATGGGGAGGCTCCGCCGCCCATGTCGGCATACCCCTCACACGTTTCGTGGGCCCCTGGGGAGCTCTACTTCAGATGCAGTGGCGCAGTTTGCCGGCATGGCCCTGACAAGTTTCGTGGACCAATGGGGAGCTCCACCGAAGATCCAGTGGCGCAGTTTGCTTGCGTGCCCGCCGCTCATTTCGGAATACCTCTCACACGTTTCCGGGCCCAGGCCTGCGGTCATGGCCGCCGCCGCCGCCGTCGTTGTCGTCGCCGTCCTCGTCGCCGCCGCCGCCGTCCCCGCCGTCGCCACCGCCACCGCCGCCGCCGTCGTGATCGTCGTCGTCGTCGCCGTCGTTGCCGCCGTCGTGGCTGTCGTCGTCGTCGTCGTCCCCGACGTGCAAGGTTGAATGCGCCCATGGGGCCCATTCAGGCCCCGGGGTCCACAGACACGAGCCCGCGGAGCAATCGATATCGGAGACGGGTCGAGAGCCTCCGGGGAGCCGCCGGGAGCGTTGGTCGCGTCCAGGGCGGAGCGGCCCGCGCGGCCCCGGACGCAAGCGCCAAGGTCGGTGCGCCACAGCTCGGAAAACTGGTGCGCCGAACCCATGCGGGAGCCCTTCCCCGCGGGGCCGCCACATCATGTCAGTAATCCGAGCGGGTCGTTCCCAACCTTGTAACTGTCCTTACTTTTTTTGGGCTTCTGAGCCTTGAATAGGGGGAGTATCAGGCGCGAGCCCCGCCCCAGATGTCAGGTCCAGCGCGGGCCTCCGAGGTTGAAAGCCCCGTTGTGTCCTGAGTGGCTCCCCCGGCCGCGTGCGGCGGTCAAGGGGGAGTTACCGGGTCGTGCTGGCGCAGAGTTTGCGTCACCACGGGAAGTGGCCACCTGTACGTTTCCGATCCTCCCCTCCTGCTTCCAACCTTGTCGTCCTCGGCGGGAGAGGGAACTTGACAGGGTTCACTCTCCCGCGTGCGTGTGGGCTGGGGAGGGAACTTGAAAAGGTTCCCTCTCTAGCTGCGGGAGAGGGAACTTGAAAAGGTTCACTCTCCCGCTTGCGGTCGGCCTGAAGGGGGAACTTGAAAAGGTTCACCCTTCAGTCGCGGGAAGGAGAACTTGCAAAGGTTCACTTTCCCGCTTGCGGTCAAACTGGAGAGGGAGCTTGAAAAGGCTCACTCTCCAGGCGTGGGAAAGGGAACTTGAAAAGGTTCACTTTCCCTCTCTTTTGTTGGGTCTGGAGAGGGAGCTTGAAAAGGCTCACCCTCCAGGCGGGGGAAAGGGAACTTGAAAAGGTTCACTTCCCCCCTCTTTTCTTGGGCCTGGAGAGGGAACTTGAAAAGGTTCACTCTCCAGGCGGGGGAAAGGGAACTTGAAAAGGTTCACTTTCCCCTCGTTTCTTGGTTTGGAGAGGGAGCTTGAAAAGGCTCACTCTCCAGGCGGGGGAAAGGGAACTTGAAAAGGTTCACTTTCCCCTTCTTCTCTTGGGTCTGGAGAGGGAACTTGAAAAGGTTCACTCTCCAGCCGCGGGAAAGGGAACTTGCAAAGGTTCACTTCCCTCCCAGAGAAGGAACTTGAAAAAGTTCACTCTCCAGCCGCGGGAAATGGAACTTGCAAAGGTTCACTTTCTCGCCTGCGTTCGAACTGGAGAGGGAACTTGAAAAGGTTCACTCTCCAGGCAGGGGAAGGGGACTTGAAAAAGTTCACTTCCTCTCTCTTTTCTTGGGTCTGGAGAGGGAACTTATAACGGTTCACTTTCTAGGTGTCCCGGAGGCTCCCGATTGAGATTCCATCGCAATCCACTCAGAGACGGGGCTCCCGCTC